AGCATTCAGATTATTAATTTTGTTTTACTCACACTAATACAGCTAAATGAAAAGTATGTTTATATAAAATAATGTAATAGATTTTTTAATTTTTTTTTTAAATATATTTCAAATGTATAGACCATATAAATAAGGGATTTTTTTTTTTTATTTTTTTATTTAATTAAAAAGTTCATATATCAGGGATCTTTCGTTCAATAGATAGTTTTTAAAATATTTTTTAATCATGCTCAGATTATTTAAGTTGTATATATACAATTTGTAAATATCAGGTAAGTTATTCATTATTTTACCTGATAAATAAGAAAAACTTCTCTGACCAATTGATTTTTTTGAGTATTCGACTAAAACACAATTTCTACTTTTTAATCTAGTATTATATTCGTGGGATATATTACTTAATATAGATTTATTTTTATAAATGAATATAATTGTACTGAACACAAACAATTGCCTAACATTAAATAATTTACTTTCAATAAATAATAGATCAGTAGGATATAATACAGGTTTATTGTAAATAATTTTAATAAATCTCTTCTGCAACACTTCGAGTGGTTTAAGATGAGCAGATGCGCAGCTCCCCCAACATATAATGCAGTAATTTATACGTGACTCCACTAAAGAATAATATAGGATTCTTAATTGGTTGACAGTGAGTATGTTTCTTAAATACCTAAATTTAAACAATAATATTCTTAAGGTTTTCATAACTTGTTCAATATGATAGTTCCACCGCAGGTGTGAATCTATCGTGATACCCAAATATTTTAAAGAATTTGTAGAATTTATAATTAAATTACCGTCTGGTGTTTGTATGGTTAAAGAATTATACACGGGTAAATTATTTTCTTGTGAAGGGAATAAAGAAGGTTTTGTCAAAATTAATTGTAAGTAAATGGTGATTAAACCAATATTGTATTTTTAGCATATCTCTTTCGACAAGATCCTTAAGCCCATTCCAAGTATCAGAAGACCATATAATGGCCGTATCATCTGCAAAACAATATATCTTTCCATTAATATCCTGTTGTAATAGATCATTAATGTAAAGCAAAAAGTATAGAGGACCTAATACAGTTCCTTGTGGCACACCTATAACTAAATTTTTTTCATTACTTATTTTATCCTTAATTTTTACGACCTGTCTACGATTTCCTAAATAACTGTTAATTAAATCAAGTGCTGTGCCTCTTACTCCTGTTCTCTCAAAAGCTTCCGACAACTGGTAATGATTTACCGTGTCGAAAGCCTTTGCAAGGTCCAGAAATACACATAATGTTGGGATTTTTTTATCTATGCATGAATACAGTTCTTTAACCACGGTAGCTGTTGCATTTTCTGTTGACACACCTTCGCGAAACCCAAATTGTCGGTTTGAAATGATATTGTTTTTTTCAAAGTACAAGTAGAGACGGGTATGGAGACTTTTTTCAAAGATTTTTGATAATGTACTTATGAGGGATATTGGTCTATAATTACTAACATTATCTCTTTCTCCCTTCTTAAAAACAGGGATTACTACTGCTTTTTTAAATTCATCGGGGAAGATTCCTGTTGTAAATATATTGTTTATAAGATGAACTAACAAAGGAGATATTTCTTTCGAAATGCTTTTTATAGTCTCACTTTTAATAGTATCTATACCTGGAGTCTTGCCACTTTTTAAGTTATGTATGATACTAAGAACTTCCTTGTTGTCTATTGGTGAAAGAAAGAATGAATGTAATTTATTTTCAGTTTCAGGTTTATTCGTAGGGGGTTCTTTGATAGATTCAGCTAATTTGATACCTATACCAGAAAAATAAGAATTAAAATAATTTGCAATTTCTAAGTGATCAGTAATTAATTCATTCTCAGCATTACATATTTTATCTATTAATTGATTATTTATATTTGAACCTGTCAAAGTTTGAACTGTTTTCCATAATTGTTTTGAATTGTTACTATTAGCATTTATCTCATTTTGGTAATACTTTTTCTTTACTTCAATTATTTTTCTGTTTAATTTATTTCTAAAACGTGTATATTTTAATTTTTTGATAATGTTTGTTGGATCCTCTTTGTACATACTATAAAGTGACCGTTTTTCTCCTATTAGCTTTACAATACTATCGCATATCCAATTTTTACGCGGTTTTTCTTTTTTCTTAACTTTTAATTTCGTTGTATTTTTTTCAACGAGTTGAATTAATTTATTTACTAGTATCTCAGTAAGTGTATTAGGGTTAGAGGATTTATAGTAATCATTCCAATTAAGCAAAGCGAAATCTTGACATAATGTTTTATAATTTGTATAAGATTGGTAACAATAAGGATCATTTTTGACAGGTTTAATATCAATTGGTACGCCTGTTATTTCAGCTTTGTGATTATTTATTGCAGTGGCATAAGTTAGGGCTATAAATTTATCTTGATTAAAATGTTTAGATTTAACAAAAATGTGATCAATACAGCTTGATGATTCTGCTTGAGTATGGGTTACTGAGTTTATTAGCGATATAAAGTTATGTTCACTTAAAATATCTAAATATTTACTTGTACTTTCGCATACACTTCCATCTAAAATATTTAAATTAGTATCACACATTTAAAAACAAAAAGGGATTCTTTGAATGTAAATCGAGAATATAAAGTTTAAAACATAATTGATACATTATATTAGTTTAAAACAAATGGTTTGCAACTTAATTTTTGGATTTTTGAATAATTTAATGTTAATTATATTTATTTTCTTACCAGATAAACATTATTTGTGGGCTACATGTGGGCTGTGTTCTCTTCTTAACCTCTTTCTTCTTTTCTTCTTCGACTCTGAATGGCCTTTTACTTTTATATCTTGTCAACAGAGGCGAAGAGGAGAGAAAAATTAATTGATTTATTTTAATTAAAAAAACTAAAACTTAAAAATTATATAAGTTAGTCATTTTTATAGTGTCCATCATGGACATTTTTTGGACATCCATTGGACTTCTGAAGGGGTATTGGATAACGGAAAATGGATGTCCAATGGGCATCCATATGAAGTTCATGGATATCCAGGACATTATTTGGACAAAATATGAATGTCCAATGGACGTCGTGAGCTGTTTGGATATATTCACGTTTATATTTAATTTACAAAAAATATTGTTTTCATTTTGGTTATATTAGACGGCAATATTCAGTGGGAAGAACTGGTCTAAATAACATTGGTAGTTTATGTCTTAGGTGAATTGTAAAATTAAACGTTTTATAGGCAGTTAATAACGCCTTACACTTTTTTTTTGTTTTTAGTGTGTCATCGGCTTCAACTGTTAAGGTTATCTCGCCTCGTGATCTGTGTATCAGAATAAATTTTAAACAATTAAATTTAATAAAAAAATCCCAGCCAACGGTGGGATTCGAACCTGGGACCCTTAGATTCACAGGCAGAGACTCTATCACTGAGCCACCCACCCCCCAAACAGTGCTGTTAAAAATAGTGTTTTAATACAATAAAGTATTTCCGTGATTTAAGCGACAGCGATAAAGATTTTGTTAGTGAAGAATTGTATAATGAAAAATTACAGAAATATGTATATTATAAATATTTTTACTTTGGCAACATTATAATTACTGAGGCCCCATAGAAAGGGCCTCAGTATTGCATTCGTGCAAACGAAAAACATTTTTTACCCAATTTTTTTAAACTTTTTTTCACGTTTCCGAAAATGCAAAAAAAAATTTTTCGTCTGGCTGTCTGTGTGTATTTATGCCGGCACGATAACTCTAGAACGAAAGTTCTGATTGACTTGCGGTTTTGATTTTCTCGAATAATTGCTTCTAACTTAGAACCTTATTGACTTTCAGAATTTTCGGTTTATCCTAACTACTTTAATATCAATGTTCTTGAAATCCGCCCATGCATTTCTTATGAGACTTATTTTACGCATTCCAATCATTACTAATATCTAACATTCCTAATATTCCATACATTGCAAACATTCCAATATTAGGCACTCTAACGACCTGTCAAAAAACAGCTGTAAAGGTGAGATTTCTAAAGGGGGTTGCGACCTTTATAGTTGCAACCATAGCCATTTTGGAGACTATTCTTATTCGAAATAGTAGTCGCTAAGTATGCCAAATTATGAAAAATATACAAGCAGTTTCTTAAAAATTACTTTTTCATGGTGTTGCTAACTTAAGCTTACCACTATTTCGCACCTAGCTACAGTTACACCTTCATCAAATTTACAGGCTTTGTCGCAACCCCATAGAATAATTAACCAGACATTTTATTAGTAGACCTTCAAACGTGCCTGCAATACTTGCATTGCACAGGTTTGAATAACGTCACAGTTTGTGTCAGACTGTCTAGTCCAAGTGTTATTTTTTTTGTTTTATAAGATACTTTTTTGAGGTTTTTCAACTTGCGAATTTAAGAATTTTATAAAATGCCAGTTGGGTGTTTGTAGTGAATGCCAAAACACATTTAACTTTAAAAGTAATTTGAATAAACACTGTCGAAATATACATAATATAGAAGGTAGGGTACCATAAAAACGTATGACAAATCAATCTACAGTTACAAATTCCAGGAATTGGAATGCAATTGCTCCTTCAGAAAGGATATAAAACAATTTGATACTATTGAAGGTTTCCAGCGCCGCTTTAGGAACAGCACTGTTAATTAGAACCCAACAGTGAATGGTCGAGTGGGGAATCCTATCAATGCATTAGAATTAATTTTAAATAATTAAATTAAAAAATCCTGGCCAACGGTGGGATTCGAACCTGGGACCCTTGGATCCGCAGGCAGAGACTCTACCACTGAGCCACCCACCTCGTTATTATTATTATTAATATTAATATTGTATATATTATGTAAAAAAAAAATTATTTTGATGTCCCTTACCACCTTTAAATGCTTGTATAGATACGGAATAATTTGTACCTATAATTGTCAATAAAACAAAATCTAATATTGATTTGTTTTTTATGTCAATTAGTTTATTAATTTTATATATTTTTTTCAGTTTCGACGTCAGGGGTAGACCATTCAATAAGGCATTGCACTGGACTGACCCAAAGATATTTGGACCAAGAGCATATTTCGTTACCGTGTCCAAACCAGCTGCCTTAACGCTCGATGGTGTTCAACTTGATGACGAAGGAGTCTATAGATGCAGAGTTGATTTTAAAGTATCTCCTACTAGAAATTTTGCTATTAATCTTACAGTGATAGGTAAGTTATTTATTAATATTAGAGGATTATTCAAAAGTTCAAAAATCTATTAATATACCATTCACAGAGTAGATTAGACAAAGTCTATTGATTTTGAATCTGAAAAAAATAAGGCGTAAGGGGGTTGATATATTGAAAAAAATCCTAACCCTGAATTAAAAAACGGTATCAAATTGAAATCGTCATGAAAAATCAAGCTTTATAAGAAAATGAAGCCTATTGATTCTGAAGAAATCAGAATGAATATGGGGGTTACCGGCGCGTCTGTTAATCTGTGAAGAGTATAATTTAGAATAATTTAAATTATAATATAAATAATTTAAAATCTGTGATCCGTTATAGTCACGCTAATGGGCGTGTTTAGTAAAATTCGTGTATATTTTTTCTAATATTGAACAATATCTAATCTAGATTTTCCCTTTACAAAGATTTAATAAAATTCAAATATATTTGAAACGACCTCCTCAATGTTCAAATTTCGTCAGAATAAAGCCTAAAATAGTAATGACTAATTTATAAATCACCTATTGAGTCATCTAATTAAGTCATATTCACCAATTAAGTTATATTTTAAGTCGTTCATTAAGTCACCTATCATCACCTAGTAAGTCACATAATAAGTGACCTAATAAGTCACCTAACAAATCATCTATTAAGTCACCTATTATGTGACATATCAAGTAACTTATTAACATAGAGCATATATATTTCACAGAGTCCGCATTCAATAGGGTTTGTTTACGTTATGAGGGGAGCCTAGACACTATTACCAGTGTCGCATCATTTTTACGGGGTTTGTAATTAATATAAATAATAAATTTGATACATACCTTCAAAATTCTTTAAATTATGCACATATTTTATAAATTTGTATTATTTAAGTAGGTACCTATCTAGTAATAGTAAATAATAATTATTATTAATAATATTACTATTATTTGTGTTGGAATCATCAGATTTTTTTTTAATTCAAACATCAGAAAGTGTATAATGGAAAAATGAAGGTTGAAATAATAGCCAATAAAAAAGATAAAAAGCTTACATTTGAGTAATCAAAAATATAAATAAATATTTATGATATCTCTTAACACACGTGTACGAGAATTACAATACAAGAGCTTTTTCCAATAATTTATTAAATATAAAAATATTGTTTGTAATCAATGTTCAATAGATTACTAAAACGATATACTACAAATAGAAATCAAGCTAATACTTAGGTACTTAGGTACGTTTGCACTGCTAGTTGTTTACAAATAAGTGAAGCTTCCTTCAGTTTTATTGGAAAACTTCTTAAGCTTCGATTATTTCTTAATAAATAGGAGTGCAAATAAAAGAAGCTTAAAATGACTTTTTTATTGAAAAACTCACATTAGGTTTTGCTTATTTCTTAATGACTATTAGTCTACTTAATTAAAGAACATAGGTACATTTAATAAAAAATAATTATTGTCAAATTTTTTGGTTTATAAAAAATATAGGTAGTAATAGGTAATTATTTTAAAATCAAATTTATGTTGTAATAAAAAGTACTTAGTTACTTACATGTTTTCTATTTCTGCATCATTGAAAAATTGAAAATTTTGAACGATTAACCCACAAGAAAAGTGCAGGGTTCTTTACCTTTTAGATTCATCTTCTTCTGGGGCCTCAGTAAATGCTGATGGCAATGCTCCTGGAATTAATCTAGTTCTTCCTCCGCATCCAGTCTGTGATATAAATATATATCCAAAAAAATGATTGGAACATAAAACATCACTATTTAAAAAGTTTTAATATGTTTTACCAAATGCGTTTTTTCGGCAGGATTAGCTGGAAACCTACAAAAAACAAAAATTATTGATTCAACATCTTTAACATTATCATGATAAAATGACTTAAAAACAAAAAGCTTTTTTATATTGAAAAATTATGATTATTTTTTTTTTTTATTTTTTAGTAGAGTCCAAAATCAATAACAATATTTCTCATACATATTACAAGTTCTTTAAATTTAATTCACTAAATTTACCATTTATTTTAAATTCACGTTTAACGGCCTTTTGCATAAAATGTAGGTACTATGTTTCTTTTAAAAAAATGGTAGAGACGCTAATGGGTACTTACTTGTGAAATGGCCTTGATGATGCCTTTTCTTATTTCTATTTACAACTTACACAAACTCTTACCATTGTTAAAATCAGAAAAGTAATAAAATACAAAAAATCACTTATAAACTACAAAAATAAGCTAATCAAAAATCAAATAACAGTTCTGTCAATTTTGAACGATTTAACATGCCAAGCAAAACGAAACAGACCAATGGGAATGCTGGACACATTTTTCCCCCCTATACCAAAACAAAGTCCATTTGGACGATGGCTCTAGTAATATATGCTCGAAGCTTATTAAATAAATTATTATGTGACCTATTATATGACCTATTAAGTGGCCTGTTAAGTGACCTGTTAAGTGACCTACGGCGTCGTGCTCAAATTTCGTTCTCGTGCGATATAGCCATCATATCCACTCTTATTGCACAAACAATTTTATGATTATCCTATAAATGGGTAACTAGTTGACAATAAATCAGTCATTAAAATGATCGAGATAGTAATAACTCCTCAAATATTTGCACTGCAATATATTTGTCCTTTTCTCTCATAGTTCTTATAGTTATGTAATGCGTTTTTTTTTTCTGTTACATACGGATATGTACCTAAACTTCTGAATATGTGCCATGAACGTAATATTTCATTCAATATTAAACCCCATATATACCAAAGTGGCTTTAACTTTAACCATTATATATTTTTTACCGCATTCCACGTAATGTTTCCTATTTATTTAGCTTATGGCTTTATGTGAAATAGACACAAACAAAAAATGAATAAAAGTCATAATAAAATTAAAAAATAATAATACACATAAGTGGATTATTCCAATTAGTGTAACGATAAAAACTGCAACTACTACAAAAGGGCATGTAGTTGTAAATTACTGGTTGAGTGGAAGAGCAAACTCTGATTTGTATCAGATATTTTGAACTCTACCATTTGGCAAACTATTTGTATTTATATTTTTTTTTCTTTGTATTGGGTACTTAGTTTGGCCAATAAAAGCACTTATTATCATTATATTCGTTGAAGTTTTACTATATAAGATCGCAGCTGGCATAATCACATTGTGAAGGCAGTACGTAATTTTGGATTGTCCAATATCCAACCCGGTTTAGTGAAGATCTTGATGTAAATAAACTTTAATAAAATAAAAATATTATGGATATTTATTTATAGATGAAACAATCTAATGATTAATTAAAAACTTAAAATAATTGGGACAATCGGTTTAATCAAAAAAAGAAAGTAAAAGCATGAAAACAAATGTCAATAAAAATAATTACAACATTTTAATTATTACAAGGTTGTGGATATAATTTGCGAATATTGATTAATATTTTGGCAAATTACCTATAGAATAGAAAATTAACAATCAGCTATGTTTATTTTTCAATAATAATCACATAATTAAATAAACGTTATAAAAGTTAACCCAATCAAATAATGTTTGTTTTGACGCAATGTAAAATGTACATGAATTTACTGTATAAAAAAAAATAATTTGTTGGTAACAAAGAGGTTATTGTCGATATTATGGTCGGATAACATTAAGAGTATACCAATAAAAACTCCCAGGCCTATTTTGATAATAGAGATATTTTAATTCTGTGAAACTAATTTATAGAGCGCTAAGAGAGCTTCTGTTTTAGATATAAATTAATGTTAAATAGGTCAATATGTAGCTGGCGCTGCACTCAATATATTTTTTCGATAGGAGGATCTATCTTATATAGCGCATCTTGTAAAAAATGCATTTTTTAGCAGATTTTGTTCTATAAACTAATTCAATAAATCTAGCCATTTTTGATATACAGTGTGTCACTCAAAACAGTTTCATCCTGTTTTTTGGCATTAATCATTGGATTTTATGAAAATGTTAAAACATATCGATTTTTATTCCAAATTAAACACATTTTTAAAATACAGACATCTGTCATGTGTTAACCCCCTCCCTTCCACTTCTCCAACCCCTTCATTTTAAATAAGGAATATACCATGTACGGCACAGTACTGAAAAGGTAATTTTATGGGAAAGTCAGAAATACTGTTGATTGCAATACTTTTAATTTGGAAGCTAATTTAATTACGAATTCAATGCAACACATAACAATAATATGAATATTTCCATATTGCACTTGCAACAAAATAAAGTTATCAATAACCAGACTATTTTTAGGAAAATTTTAAACCAACATGGAACAAGTTTAGAAGTTAACAAGTTTTCACAGATGATTCTAAGAATAATGTTAGTACTGGTTGTGTTTTTTATATCCCTGAATTGGAATTAGTACATTAATTCAGATTGTTACCAGTTTTTTTGCGGAATGTTATGCTTTACTTAAAGCACTTGAATTTGTCCCTATCTTAAACTACCAGGAAGTTACAATTTTCACAGATTGTAAAAGCGCTCTAGAGAGTCTCAAAAATTTTTGAAAATCTCAATCACCCATCATTAGTGACGTTATAAAAAAACTATTTACATTATTGCAATAAAACATTCTTGTTAAATTTGTGTGGGTAAACGCACACTCAGGCATTATTCATAATTCAGTAAAATTTTTCGTCCTTTAAATGTATTTGTGAGTGTGAGGTAAGTGGGAAGAGGACGTGCCAAAAGGAAACATTTATTTCTTAATTTGCCGACGTTTCGACGTTTATTTTTCGTCTTTTACAAGGCTGAAAATACATAATAGGTTTTAATAGAAAAAAAATTGTAAAAACTATGAGATTTACATATGTGTCAATATTATAAATGGCATACAACGTAAATGGTTATTGTTATTTCAATAAAGCAATCATTGTTAGTATATATCAATATCAACATAAAATCCAGGAGAAATAGAAACTAAAAACCTTACCTTATTAAATTAATTAATGCAAGGCACATGGCATATGTGGAAT